AGCCAAAATTGTTATTTCCAATAATAATGAGCTGACTGATTACTGCCATTAATTCCTGACTGCAAGAAATGACAAAGAAAAATATTTTTTCAATTATTTTTCTAATGACAGGATAGAAAATGAATAAGCCCTACCATTCTGGGACCAAAATATAAGTTTGGCTAGTTCTGAAAACTAGAAAAGGGAAAATTCTACTGTCAGATATTGAAAAAATATTTTAAAAATATGAAGTCACTGTGTGAAATACAATAGAGTATGTGAACATAATCTTAGTGGCTCAGAGATACAAAACAAGCTTGTGACACAGTGACTAGTAGCAGCCCTTTGGGTAGATATTGTTTATCTCACAGTATATTGATGTCTTCACTAGGCCTGGACTTGTTAGACATGACACTTCAATCTTGGAATAGATTACTGCAGCAGCGTTTTACCTCAGGACATACAAATTTCATCCTACTAACTTCACCATAGGTAAATTTTTATGATACATATAAATTCCCTGTTGTGTACATCAAAACCTGATCACAACTGGACCTGTCAATAAGCAGAATGTGAAAATGTTTTGTAGTTCTTTCATACTGCTGGGCTCGCTTTTCTTTCCCTGCATTTATGTGTGCTTTTTATAAGTGGATGAAATAGGTAAGAGCCTCATAATATGCTGAAAGACAAGAAAATATGAGAGCACTTGTATGTTTTGATCTAATGTGATGCAGAATAGCCTTTCAGACTTGAGCTGAGGCAGACTTGCCTCGAGCTGAGGCAGACTCAACAAAGGAATATTGGCACTGCAGAAATTATTTGCACACACATGAGCTGCCTGGGAAATACAAGTTTACAGAGAGTGTAAGAGAGAAAAGAGTAGATTTTAAATGCCTGGAGGAAAAAATACAAAGAAAAGAATATGCTGACTTCTGCTTGAAGGCTTAATCAACTTCGACCTGAGCCTTCTGGCCTGAGGAACTTTGGATCCTGCTACCCAATGGACTAGACACATACATTTGTTTCAGAAAGGCTTGCCTTGTTGTAGAGCATTGCTGACTGTCTGACTTCTTTAAAAGAAGACAAGGGCTCTGATTCAGCATTGAACTCATTCACTGATCTATGGAATGAAGTATGTGTGGCTCCAGCGAGGAATGGAGGAAGACTGCAGATCATGAATGAGGGTAGTGGCAAGGAGGAACCTGGTCATCTTCCCCGAATGTTTTAGAGAGAGAGTAGTTTGTCTGAGAATGGAGAATGTGAGGAGACTTGGAAGCAGCTAGAGAAACTAGCCCGTGTTTAAAGCTGAGTCCAGATTCTTCCAAGAGGAACACAGTGACAAGACAAGACAAAGTGCACCAAGCACAATGTGGGAAATTCTCATTTGTTAGGATTTTTTTTCTCACTGGGAGGGTTATGTAGCACTGGAATCAATGACCAGAGAGTCTGCAGGATCTCCAGCCTTGGAAATAACCAGATCTTGACTGGATATCAGTCAAGAACAAATGTGACCTCAGCAGGCCCTACTCTGAGCAAGTAGTTGTCACATATAACCTATGGAGGTCCCTTCCAGCCTGAATTATTCTGTGATTTTGAGTCAGATCCTACAGCTGGCAATGGAAGGACCTTAGCTATCATGCTTGAGGGTAGGGGTAGTGTGAGTATCTGACTCATGACTAGACTGGAGTCACTGATTAATTCAGTGTATTTCATGACTGTATGTCAAATTTTATGGGGAACCTGACAGCTATGAACTTTCTGGCTCTGGAAGGCAAGAAATTATTTGCTGACTCATATCACTAATAAATGCTGGTATTTATCCTATCCAGCACTGGTGGATGATACCTTTGAACTTTTCATGATGCTTTGAACCAGGGCAAGAGATTAGTTCCTGTGAAAAGGCTTTTTCATACATCCTCTGACCCAAATTTTCAAAGCCTCCAGTTCCCCAGCTGAAACTTGGTCTGCGGGAAAAAGCTTCAAGCAAATGGCAGTGGGATGGATCAAAATGAATGCTCTGAGCATTCCTGAGGGATTCTCTGGGGACAAAGCTGTCTGTTGGCTCTTCATTGCAATGGTAACGCTCTATGTTGCAGTGGATAAATTAATGGATTGCTGTTTACATCAGTATTCCCTGCTGAAAAGCAAAACTCAAGGAACAGCTCTGGTATTTTATTTGCTTTATGTGGGAACATGGCCAGTGATGCCCATAATTCATACTATGATATGACTAGAACTCTGATATGTCACAGAACATTTCAAAATTGAGACTGACAACTTCTGGAATTAAGTTTAACTGTGGATGTGTTTTGTTAACCATATTATGTACTTATAGCAGCTTTTTATAACTGAAGAACAAGAAGATGACTTCTCATTATCTAGCTACATAAGTGCCACTAACAAAGGGGCAGCTGTAGTTTAATTTGGACAAAAATCTCTGTTTCAGTTATATTCAAAATACAGAATTTCATGGAGGTGTGTTTTCATTTGCACACCCATAGCATAGATAGGAGGTTGGAGGTACCAAGAGCAGTACCTCAGACTGCTGTAGCAGCTGCCTGTATGTTTGTACCACAGAAACATTTTCTTGCCTTGGAATGGATGAGTGCATGTGTATACACTGCCTGATCACTCCTGTCATGCACAGCCTGGCAGAGACATGGTGTTTCCTACATGAACTGCCATTTCTTCCCAGATCATGAGTGAAAGGCTAAACATGAAGCAGAGGCTAACAAGATTCCAGTTCTGCAGTTTTCATTTTCAGCAGTTTGTATTCTGCCACATACTCAACACTCTTTCCTGAGGGAAAAAACCTAACATAATTAACATGGGATAGATTTTGTTCAGCGTACTCTGTTTCCTTCCATCATTATATTTGCTAGAGGAACTATTTAGAGAGAAGCTTTCTCACGGTATTGTGTACAATCCAAGTGTTTTTAGTTTGTCAGGGGATTTTTTTGGTTTGTTTGGTGTTTTTAATTTGTTTTTAAGAAAGCACTGTTTTAGAGGTTACATTTTCAGAAGCCATTGGATTTCAGCCATTTCAGATACATAGTGAAAAGGGAGGAGACAGTAAGAACTTAAAGAGATTATTATTTTTCACATTACTGGCAGGAACATCCTCATCTGAGTTCCATTAGAGAGGTAACTGCCTACATTAATAAAATAAACCAATATATAATCACTACCAGTCTTAATGCTTGGGCTGAATGACTTAATTTAGTAACTCGTTTATGATGTGTTTTAGTAGCATGGCCTCTCTTATGTTATCTGAGTAAATAGAACAGATGCAGATGCTTGCCAGAGGTTCATAGTTTCATAAACTCGTCTTTACAGACTAGCTTGAATATGCCTTATAAATTCACTGGTCTTCACTCACTGGACTCAGTCTTCAAAGTAGGCACGAAATATTTATACTTACAGATCCAGTTGTTGTAACTCACATCAGTCAAACAGCAAGAATGAGCTAGGCAAAGAAACAAGAGTAGCACATAAATCACCTTGTTTATTAATAATTTTCTACTGCCTTTACTGAAGCTGTCTTCTTTCAGAGTCTGAGGCATGGGGAGGAGTTATCTCGCTAGATTTGTAGAGCCATTTTCAGTTTGTTACAGATCTAATTACCTAATTGAGGGACAACCAGTTTAGAGATGAACAGAACTTTTTCTCTGTGGTTTGTGTTTCTTTCTGTGGTTCCCTCTGAGATTTCCTTATTTTCTTCTGTATGGGGGAATCCATCTCCAGTGAAAGGCGACTGTGTGCTTTGGAGTATATTTTTTTGCTGAGGATGGTGAGCAATATGTGCTGTGTATCAGTAGTCCTAAATAAAAGCAAATCCATTAAAAAATCCAGTAACCAATTCAGTTCTCCAAATAAAACCAATGGAAGTAAATAAGGCAAACCACGTCACCCTTCAGCCCCTGCACCAGGAGGGTTCCCAGGTGAAGGCAGGCAATGGTTGCATCTTGAGCAAATCCCTGAGCATGCCAACGACTGGTCCAGTCTCACAGCAAAGCTACTGGGCACAGGCCACTAGCCTGGAGGTCAGTGTGGCATCTGTGTGATAGGTAGCTGGGTTGCTGGGATAGGCAGAGACATCCCAACATCCTTCTGTGCTCAGCAGCAGTCTCAAAACTTTCCAGAGGAGCGGGACCTGCCAAGCATGACTGCTCTCATCACTGCTCAGCACCATCTCTGCCAGCAGAAGAAATAATGACATCTGTCTCAAGACTTGTCTTTTTAACACCAGTAACGTAATTTCTTCCTCTTCCAAAATTGATTCATTTGATGCCCTAAGTTTCAGCTGGTTTTCCACGAGCATATTATTTTCTTTGAGAATGAACTCACGTTTTCCAGTTGAGTTCTTGATTAGTCTAATGAATTTTCCTCCTTTCCCATCATCAAACACACTTTCCCAGATGATGGGGAGGTTCATCTCTAAAGGAAAATGACTCTTCTCTGACACAGAAAAAGTTTTAAACGAAGATTTTAAAAGTGTCTGATGATTATGGGGTTCTCAATATTTCAAGTACTAAGTTTAAAGCGTTGTAAAGTGACAGCAAATGTTGGATATCTTCCCTCTGATCCCTGATGCTATTTATTTGAGTTGTCCTAAATTGGCATAGAAGACCATCATTCATTTTTGACCCAAAGCATCTCAGACATTCAAAAATCTCATTCCCAAACTTCTAATTCTTTCCCAGTTCAGAAGGCTGTCTGAAAGTTGCCAAGTATGAAGTTTAAAACAAACAGATAAGTAAATATTTGGACCTTTTTAATTGCTTCATGTTTCCTGAACTTTCAGGATTCATGTTTTCAATCTAATTATTTCTGGCTTTTGGAGAGAGGTTTCCCTCTCCCCTTTGTTTCTAACTAAGTAAATATCTAGGCTAACCTGTCAAAAAAAAAAAAAAATATATAGAAAAAATTCACAATTGAAGGAACTTTGCTAAATGGGATAAACCTTCCTACAGCCCAGGCCTGAGCACAAAGCCTAGAGCCTTTACTCACCTTGACTCTCTACATCCAAGCTAACATCAGCTAGTTACTGTACAGGCATGGTGGCAGATCTTCTGTACCTGCCTAACACAAATCTCCTGCTCCCTGTCTTTCTGCACAGCATCTCCTGTGGTCACAGCTGAGACCCTGTGGTGCCCAGCTGATTGTTTTTGCCCAGACATTCTGCAGGACTCCATCATCCATCTCGGCATTCCACAATAAAGGGACTGGAGTGGGTAACTTCAATGTTTCATTTGGGAGGTGTGACTCACATTACTTTTTACCTGTCCTGCTTAATACAATTCATGTATTTCCATTTTTTAGGTTTATTGTTTGCTCTTGCTAGAAACTGATGATGTTAATGCTCACTTTGCTAGACCTGAATACCCAAAGACACTGTGAGTTTTCACCAACTGTTCCTTAAAGAACAACTCAATATGAGAAATCCTCCTACGAATCCTACACTTATCCATGTAATCAGCCCTGCCAATACACTGCAGACTGTAAACAGCCATAGAGAGGATTCCAAACAGTTAATGTCAAATAGCTCATTTTCTCTCATCTCCACACAAATTCCTGTCATGTTGCATTACATGTAAACAACTGAGAAACTTAATGAAATGCCTTTCAGTAAAAAACTCATATGGCTTTTCAGTCTGAACAGATTAATTGCAGTTTGTAACAATATAAAGTGATGCAATCTGATGGCAGTTTCTATTGTTCTTTAGGATAAAATATTTTATGTGAATGCAAAGCCAAGTTTTCTGCTGGCATGACTTTATTGAATTCCATGGAAAAATAAAATAGTCATCTAAAATCCATAGTACGAAATACTAATCTAAAATCTAAAATCCATCGTGTACTGTTCTAGTAAATAAATTTTATAAGCTGTAAATTAGATGTGCCAGATCAGATTCCAGACCCCATGGAAATGTCCATATCAATGAAGAGAGGCAATAGGAATATTTTTATTTTGGAGGAGACACTTCTGAATGAATCTTTTAGCACTTTATGGTTTTGAAAGGGTTTCCTACTTCCATTTTTTCAATGCCCTGTCTTCATCTTGACATTGCGCTCTTTAAATCTGCTTGTCATTCTCTTTAGTTTCATTCCTATGTACTCCTGAGTTGTTTTTCTCTTCTTGCTGCAGGCATCGCTCCGGTGTTTTGTAGCAATCCTGTAGACCCAAGCCCAGAAGCCCTGCAACACAAGTTCTGCTTGCTGCCAACAGGGGTAACGCAAGGAACTTCCATGAAACCTCTCCAGGTGCATCCCTTACTGTATTTTTTATAAACCCAGTTTTCTTTAGTTTAGTTTTCTTTGTTTATTTTCCCAGTTTGCAGAATGCCATCATTGGGGGTGATCACTGCTTGAAGAGGCCAGAAGTTGTCTGTGGTGTTTTGAATCCCATGTAACTGCACCAGGGGAAAGGCTGAATTTTTTTTGGCAAGTGTGTGGGCTTGCCAATGCAACACCACTCTGTCCATGCTGCTGGACTAAAACTGAAGGTCACAAATATTCTACAGAAGCTGCCAATGTCTGATTGCCTGGCACACGTTTGAGTCATCAATATTCCAACAGAGTTTCACTTTTACAGGACTAACATATTTTATGGAACAGGAGACATTTTTTATGTAATATTAGCAATATCACATTTAAGCGTTACAATACTGCCTGACGCTGGGGACCAAGAGAAAAATACTTAATGGAAAAGTAGAAGCTGCTGCACTTTGAACTGAAGCTGTGTGTATTGGAAAGGGGGAGCATGTAGTTCACATCTCCACTGGGACATGTTACATATAGATCACGATAAAGCAGGCTGCAGAATTGGAGATGTTTAAATCAGCATTGTAAAATCCTGAAGAAGTGTAAGAAAATGAGGAAAAAAAAAAGTACATTATCCACATGTTGAGTCAGTACTTTGATATGTGTAGAATCTATAGAAATAGATTGTTTATCCCTGTCCATTTCTTTAAGATAGCCTCTTTATTTTCTGTGTCCACTCTGACTGGGTAGAAGCTTTTAGTTTTTGATGGGAGAGATTTTGAAATATGCTATTTTCACACTGCATGTAATAGCATGATTGGAAGGAAAATTACTGCAAATTCTTTCATTTCTGAGAGTGAAGATCTCTTCAATAGAACCACTATTGCTACCCATGTGGTTGGTCACTTGAGGGCTGTTTTCTTCATTTTATACAAGCAGATAGCTTGTATGCCATGACCCCTTAAGAAGTACACAGTTTCAATCTCAGATAGCATGTTTACATATAGTTTTTTCTTACTATGAACAACTTCAGATGAAATATTACTTAGTTGTCCAATAATTGCATGCAATTTTAGGATCAATTAATTCCCCTTTGAGTGACTTTACTACTCTAATGATTATTGAGGCATGGTACAGTATGTTTCTCCCATGAGAATGCTTAGCTGTTCTTAAGTCAGAGGCTGTTGGGAGTAAAAAAAAGCATCTGACAGAATCAGATTTTCATAAAATAAAAAAAAGCACCCCCCTAAACATTTTTTTAGGAAACTTCAATGCTGTTTAAACGTTACTGATAATTTCTGCAGCTGGATAAACACCATTATTTTATAACTGTGGTAGAGCATGAGGCTACTGGAAAAAAATGTGGCTTTATATTGAATTTTCCTTAACTGAGCTTTCTCAAAGCAGTATGTTTAACAAGTCATGAGGTGACTGCATGGGCAAGAAAGATACATAGTAGAGAATGACAGAAATCAAAACTAAGAGGAATGAGGTTTTTTTAGACCCACTGTGGTCATTTCCAAACCTTGCCAGTCAAGTTCAGTTCTCTGTATATAGGTCAGATTTAACCAGAAGATTTATTTGTCACAATCAACTGAGTATCAGTAACTCTGAAAACAAGGGATTTTATTTTCCTCTCTCTTCAGATTCTGATTTATCTACTGAGTGGGGGATGGATCATTAGTGGAGAACAAGTGCCACCAGTGGTGACCAAAAGCTATGGTCACCTAACCACCCCCTGAAGTGCCTGATGAAGTACCCAGGAGTGCACATCTGTTGTGTGAAAACCCTGATGGTGGGCAGCACTTGGAGCTGTCATCAGCAACTGGTCCTTTAGTACTTCTTCAAGCAAGTGCTGCAAACACAGGGAGGACAGGACACCCTTTCCCTGCCCCTGCTGTAAAAGTGATGCACATAAATGGGTGAGCTCGATTGTCCCATATTTCAGGCCAACATCTTTCACAAGCATTTCAGGAACAGCTTCAAAGGCATGCAGCTCGAACTAATGAGAAGCATACAGGAGGTCAGAATTACTGTCTAGTCTTGGAAAAATCAGAATATATATTCTTTTTTCTTTTTCTGTTTTTATCAGGCATTTTTCTTTAAAATAGATAAGCAACTTCTTTTATAAGAAACCTGGAAATGATTGCTTAAAATTAGTAAGTTACAATTCCAATGAATGGCCTATCTGGAGCAGCTGGGTTTAAACACTCAAGGGAGAAGTTGGGGAAAGGAAAGGGAAAAAACAGGAGTACATGATTGTTTCTGTGCTGATTCACAGATCTGTTTGCCATCAAATCTCTCATTGTGGTGGTGACATGGACTTGTTACAGCTAAAAGCAAAGAATGCAGAAAGTAAGAGCATTTGACCCTAAAGCCCAAAATACTCAAAGGTTTAGTGTTTTGAGTAAGGCAATGATCCAAAGCCTATAAAAGCAGAAGAAAAATAGCCTTTAGCTTCAGTGGGCATTGCATCAGGCCTTCAGATGACTGGCAATCAGCAGACTTCATGCTGTGTGATTCTTTATGAAAGAAGCATTAGTTCTCCAACACACAGTCAGCTGAGGAGGAATAAGACATGCTGTGTCTTTGCAACTTACCCTTCTGGTCAGCAGACATCCCCATCACTGAGGGTGATGTAGATATTCTTGCACAACTGGTGAAAAGGCATCCAGCTGTGCTTTGCAACTGCTGCTTCCCGCTAAGCCATCACTAGAGAGAGAATTAGCAGAGACTCCATTGTCACATACCCTAGATCTGAACCCTGGGTTATATTTAAACGAGCATAGGAAAGAGTCTGAAGACTCTATGACCCTGGTGAATTGGGGGATTGCTTTTTCTAAACTGGAAGGCAAACGTCGGAAGATCAGATTACAAGTGACTACACGAATGTTTTCTCTTCATGGTGGGTCAGCTGGAGTTCAGGCTCTGTAAATTCCAAGGAGGTGGTTCCAGAGCAGTTTAAGCACTTCAGCAATTCCTAGCACCGGTGGTCTCAGCTTGGGAAGGATTTCATAACATGTCTGAAAGCCAAAGGCTTCTTTGCTAATTTAATAAAGAGTGAACCAGTGGGTAAGTCCCTAGAAAATAGACTAAATCAGCCTAATTTGTTATATAATCCCTTTTTAATGTGGAGAATTAAGGTGACGGCAAGATGACTACGTGTTTAATTCTCCAAATAATTACTGGTGGGTATTGACATTAAAGATGGGAGAGAGTGAGTGAATTTCTGTTTGTAGTTTTCAGCACGTGCCAAACTCTTACTTCATACCACTGAGAAAAGGCTGGAAGTTGTGTGTTCCATATGCATGAAGTAACAGTTGGCACAAATCACCAAGGGGAGAAAATTAAAAGCCACTAAAGCCCAGCAACCCAAACTGTCACTTGCTGACAATTTTTTGACTCTCTCTATGAAAAAAAAAAAACCAAACCAAAAAAACAATACATGAAGGCCTCATGCAGGGTATTCCACCTGAGCAAACCCTAGTGTCTGGTCCTCCTCAAGGCAAATAATGTGCTGAGAAGGCAGCAATAGTCTCAGTTTTCCAACATCCTCCTCTAGTCCCTTGGGAAGTGCAGTCACAGACAGCCCCAGAGTGGGGTGAGAGTGGAGCAAGGGAGGATGACACTGCTTGGCTCAAGTTGGTTCTTTCTTCTCCTGGCACTCTTGGCCATGAAAAACCTGTTCTTCCCCATTGCTAGGAATGGAGGTGCTTTGTGACTAACAGTGTCTGTCCTGCTTGGGGCAACTCTGCCGTATGGATCAGGATAATGGAGTTTACATCCTTCCCTTGCCAGCACTGCTGGATTCACCTCAAAACATCAGGAGATAGCTGTATCTGCACAACCTGCCTCTAACTCATGTGTCCTTACACAGGCCTGGGATGACTTTGGCATTTGGGCCATGGCTGCCAGGGCCCTGGAGGTACCAAGGGGCCCTACTGTTGTGTCCAGTCCCTGCTCAACCTTCCCAAGGACCAGTAGCCCATGTCAGCCCCCTGATCTCATCAGTCTCTGCCCCAGTGATGTCACAGCAGGGCCAGGCTCCATCTGCCCACAGATCTGCCCTGGCCATGGGCCCCACAGAGCCAGACCCACATCCCATCCTGTCAGCACATCCCATGTGGTGTCCTGGCCATGGCCATGGGTTACACGAGTTACCTCATTTTTTGTTCAAAATTATATCCTGTGCTTGTAGGATTTGATACCATCTAAGTCTTCCCTGTCACTTCTGTAAGTAAATATGTGAATAAGTATATTTATTGATATTCAAAACATGTATATGACATATGGGGTAAGGTATACAGATGTACTGTGTGTTGTTCACTCAGGAATCACACAAATAGATACTTTCCTCCTATTTTGTTGATGGCTGAATATTACTTGTAAGCCAAAGCTAGCTTGTTTAAAACACTCCCTGATTTTATTTTTAAAGAAAGAAATTGTTTTTGCTGTTTGGCATGTTTCTGATTTTCAGACCATGATGATTTTCTGTGTGGTTCACTGTAGTCTTCCTACAACTGACAGCTTATTATCTCACCTTATGAAAATCATGCATGACTTCTGGGAGTCATCTATCAAAAGGAGAGAACACACAACATACTGAGAAGCTGGTACCTTCTCTCTAATTTTCCAGGTTGATGGCTGTTCAATGAACCTATTAACTGCCTGAAGTGACTTGCATCTTTACAGGTATGGGACTGCATTGTCTTTCTTTGTTGTGTTTAAATGGCAAATGCTACCCCATATAGTGTCCTGGTTTAACTTCATTTCTGGTCTGGTGGTTTCCAAATGCATCTGGCTTCACTCTCATTGGACAGCAGACTCCTTTGTGTGCCTTCAGAAGTAATGGCTGTAGGTGAACATTTCCGCTTTCCCTTATCTCCCATTCTCTGAAAACTGCCTTGGTTCAAGGTTTATGCCTTTCAGTGGAACACTTAAGCACACACCTGGCTCTAAGCACTTCACTCCTGTCATTTCACTGAACAGGGATGGATTTAAGTGACTACTCATAGTTCATGGCTTGCCAGAACTTCGACAGTTTCTTTTGCAGAGGTCAGATAAGATAAAAGTTAGGAGCCAGATCTGACAGTCCTCTGCCTGGGGTTTAGTTTGCTTTCTGGTAGTGATGGGCAACACCATTCAAATCTTTCATGATACTCCCATGTAAGGATTGATGGGGCCCTAGTTCCAGCTGCTAATTGAAGGTTAAGGAAAGGTAATAGAGCATACTCTACTCTCATTTATACCAGGTAAAAACATCATATGAGTTGCTGGCGCTGTTCTTGTCTGTGCTACTGCAACAACAAAAGGAGTCAGAAAACTGCAAAGGAATCTCTTTGGCAGCCCTGTGCCCCTGCTCTGCTCCTCGTGCTGACAGCACAGCTGAGCACCAATGGGAGTGTGGTCACTCAAAAGCTCTGGGCTACTAGTGTAGCCCTGGCAGGGCTAAGTGGCATGGCTCTGCAGAGAAGCCCTGTGGCTGCTGTGGTACCAGGTGCTGGAGTCATGGACAAGCTGCACTTGTGCCCCTGTGCCACCCTGATTATAATTGTGGCCATCTGGAATGGCTAAAACTGAGGCAAAAACTGGGCAACTTTGTTGACATGGGACTTTTAAGTTGTGTGGAAAATGATGGACAAGTTGGAGAAGAAGCTCACTAGTCAACCACATTGGGAATCCCTCTTTATGAACACAAGTGATATCTTTTGTGGCACTGCCTTGCATAGCTGTGTTGTGCAAATTCCCAGCTCTTTAGAGATCCAGTGGACTATCAGACAAAAAAGAAACCCACCACACTGTATGTCATTCTGGGTACATTCTTGCTGTGAATGAACACAAAGACCTATTCATCACTCCTAGTGCTCACATAACTGACAGATTAAATCATTCTCTGGCTGTGATGATGACAGTGGTCCAACAGCTAATGCTGTCTAACAGTCTCCATTAGAAGGCCTTCTTTTCGGTTGTTTATAATTTTGCCAGACTTCAGCTGCTTGAGCTGGATTTTCCCATGCCATATGTCACCAGAAACTGAAGTTTTGTGTGGAAGGGCCTAGATAAATAGTCATGGCATTGCCAAGCTCATGCATCACTGAAAAGTCACTTGAACACAAGTTTTCAGGGAATAGCTGTACATTTCTCATTTCTTGAGGGAGCAGGAAAAACATCTGGAGTTATATGCTCCCCAGTGGTCTGTGCTCAGGCTGAAGTTAGAGTTGCTGCTAAACAGCAAGAGGTTCCATATCCAAGGCTGTCAAGTTGCTAGATATTCTTGACACTTGTAACCTTTTGCAAACTGACCAATGTCTTTTGAGGTTGTACTTTGTCCACTGACATATTTAGTTCCATATTGTATGGAACTTCTGTTGACAACTTCCATGTTGTCAACAGAAGTTGTTTTAAGTAGGCTGAGATTATGCTACCAGGGAGCACAGTTCAGGAAGATGGCGTCTAAATGGCTTAAGTTTTAGCACGTGGTATTATGGCTTTATAGCTTTCTTCTGCTCACCCTTTTCCTTCTTCACAGCTGTCCAGTTGTCATATTTCTGACCAGCAATCCCTGTCATATAGGATCAGGACCAGATTTTCAGATCTCCATGCTGGTCTGAACACCAGGCTGATGTTGGTAGATCCCGGAGGTCAGTTAGCTTGGCAGCTTTTAGAATGGCTTTTATTTGGTCCACTAAAGCAACGTTGGTATTTTTTCCTCTGCATTTCCAAACAGTAGTGCAGAGGTCAACAGGAAGAGCTTTCGGGCTGAAAAGTACAACAGCATTGTCCCCGGGTGAGGTGGTTGTGCTGGGAGGACATTTGGTGACAAGAAATAAGTGGCATGGGTGTGGGTCAGGAGTGAGGTGGGGTTTAACAGATCTAATGTAACTTTGAGGATGATATGTATTTCTGTGAGTAGTATCTGCAGATGACAGCTCAATTCCACATTGGGTGAAAACATGCTCTCTGATCTGCAGCCTATATAACCCTTTCTCATTCCCTACAGATATTTTTATTAAGTGAGCTTTACAAGGACCTAGAAAGAACCTCTACCTGTCACAAGAATCTGAGAAGGCTTATGTAAGGTCCCTAGAGCAGTTTTTCCTTAACACTATCCAACCCAGAAAATTTCCGGATTTCAGTAAAAACTGTGTGTGCTATGTTTTCCCAAGCTGGGCATCAATGTGAGTTCTAGGAGCTGTTGGCTAGGAAGTATCTAGAAGCAGACTTTACAACCACACAGAATGCTTTCATTTAACTACCCGTGCTACTGGACCTTCACATGATTTAGAGCTCTGACAAACCTGAATTCCCATTAAACTAGATAGCTTGGATCCAATTAGTGGCATTATCTCAGGAAGACAGTGTTCT